GAGGCGATCCTATTGCCACGCCGTCTATCTATTTTTAGATTTTGTTGAACGTGCGTCTTAGAAGTACCATTAAATAGTTATTTGGGGGATACCAATGTTGAATTTATGGGACTGAATAAAGCTACACAGAAAATAAATGGTTTTTACATTTGTGGAACATTTGTCAATAGGGAGATGACTTCCAGAGAAATCATCCTCTTCCTGACAGATTAACATTCTTGATTAAATCAATAAAGTGAAATGTGTAACGCAGACTATGTTTCAAAATTTCATTCTTTGCTGGATCCAGTATACTAAGGAACCATTTTATAACTGGATGATAAGGAGAATTGGTTATGTCTAGTATTGGACAAAGGGGAACACTTTCTTTGTGCACTTTGGGTACACCATATAGTCGAGTGTTTGGGGAAGCTAATGGCAGAATTGTTCTTGAAGTTCGGGGCTAACCAGTGCTTCATTTTCTGCAATGTCTTTGACAATTGACGCTGTGTTTCGTTAGTAGGTCTTTCTTAACTGTCTGTTTTGAAAGTTTGGGCGTATCATGACCAAGCTTTCATTTTTCTGAAGATCATTGAGCTAATTCCGATATTCCTTTGATAGAATGTGTCGAGTATTGGACTTTCTGTTTATGTAATCCATACAATATTTCAGAACAGTTGATTTGAAATAGTCAAAGTCATTAGGTGAGATTGGAACTGTGTTCCGTTTGATCAATCGAATTCTCCAACTATACTTTTATATTGAGTTCATCAACTTCAGATGTTTCGCAGAATTTTGGGCCGAAGGATAAGACCTGCTTTTGAATGGAGGATAGCGACACACTCGAATAGTTGAATACATACTTTTCTGGGCACAAGGAGAAAATAGTTTCACGAGTTATCGACTTTAAACTCTTATTCAGTTTTATGTTAACGTCATCAGTGCGCTTCTTGATGATAGTAGAAACCTCTTTCTTTGCCATCTCCATCGTAGATTATCGATCACTCTAGATAACCCACACATGATGTAACTATTTTTATTTTATCATTTGTTTGTTCCCCCTTTGTGGCACCATTTATATCTTTGACGAGAAATTACTCTGGGATGTTCTGTTCTTTTTACTATATATTCACCAATCTACAGCGAAGAGAATGACTAAGTCGGAAAGACGGTTTTTTTCTTCACTCCAACCCTCTTCTGTGTTTTCCTGTTCTAAAAAGATTGTTTCCATACAGTAAAAGCTTGAAAAGGATGATATTCGGTTAGATCATGACTTAATATAACCACTGAAAGTGTTTACATGATCTGTAAAGTCTGTTTTAACTATTCTTATTTCCCCTGTATGATTTTCTCTTACTGTTCTAGCATGTAACATATTACAACTTGTGTCTGTGAAAATATATTGCGATTTTTGTCGATTGTATATCGACTATATCCGACAAGGTTTTTAGAGTGCATTACGGTTGTTGCTTCTGTCATCATTTAAGTGGACATGAATGCTTTATTCTGAAACTATGAAACACTATATTCAATGTCTACAATTACATGATTATGGTATGCGTCGGCAAATAAGTAGTTTATCTTGACAATGTTCGACTCCTAGTACATCCTATTCAGTCAATTAGACAGTTGAGCACGTCTGAAAAAACATTTGGCGAACTCAGAAAGCTATGAAAACAATTCAAGCTGTTACTAGACGTACAATAATATGAAATGGACAAATTTTTATACAACTTTAATTGTAATAAAATAAGAAAGACAAAGTTTACAAACTAAAATTGTCTTATTCTATTTGGAAACAAACTATGAGTGAAGATATTTTTCTTCTCAATTAGTACCTCGTCAGTGGTTCTACACAAATGCATAGCATTCTGAAAGTATAATATTACATTCCAGTCTAGTGGTGATTATGGTTTATAATAGATTATCAGTCTCAAAATATCAAGGAGGTGGTAATTAATCAAGATAATTAAAATTGCAGCTAAAGTATAGTATAATTACATAGTGAAATTTTAAACAGCCTGTTAAATAATTAATCGTTTATATGATGGTAACTAACATGAATAGAAGAGAAAACGAATTATTATGTCAAGTGTTGACAGTAATTAGAGACAAAAGAGGTAGAGTAAAATGCCTAAAACTGTAATAATGATAAAAATAATTGCAAACGTTTGTGGGATGAATGAATTGAAGGGGATTGTTTCAACAGATAAGCTATACAGATGGCCAAGACAAAGAAAGAGGCTGTACAAATTCTTTTTGAACACACATACTTGGCTTGTTCAGATAGATTCCGATGGCTTCTGTAGTATGTAAAAGACGAACTCGTAGAGCATGGATGAGATTAAAATGAATATGATATAGTAACTTTAAAGTCGTTATTAATATTTAACTCGGTGACTAGTGTCGACCAGATGGGTGAGTATTGAGCTCCATGTCGACGGTCTCCCTTTTCAGCTAAACATTATCCAGTGTAAATTGAAATGGATACTACTCAGAGTGCACATAAACCTTTTTTTAATTAATAAATATTTAGAATTGCAAACGAAGAGAGTATAGGTATCAAGTGCTCCGGTGTCGGGGCCAAACTAACGTTTACTGGGCTGAAGTCAAATGAAACCGACTAAATCAAATAACACTGGTAAAGATTGTTTATTTGTAGTTAGGTAAAAGAAAGACTCCAGTTTAGTCGACAGTTTATATACGCTGTAGTTTTTAAGGCTTGTAAACAAGTGAGAATAAGACAGAGGATTATTTTGAATTCGCTTATCGTATTGCGCAAGACATTTTGTTCTTATCTGACTATACAATAACTAGTTGATATTATTATCATTTGTTACCTATAAAAAAGATATTTAATGGATATGGCTTTTACTTGTTGATGCTGTGAAGACGATGGATTGTTTTGAAGTGTATTCTCAATTGCTTATATTCACCATTGACGTGACAATCAGCTTAACCTTTTCAGTAGAAAATGGCATCCACACCATCATCTACTACTACACTGATGAACTAATTCCGTTTTACCGTGTCAAAGCCCTATCGACTGAAGTAAAAATCCTGAAAATGAGTTATTTGAGGTCAATCGATAGGTTGTCTGTTAACTACCGACACACACTACCCTACATCTTACTTTTCCTCTAAAATTCAATTATCACTCTTGTGAATTGAAATTATCGAAATAGTCCCATTGGGTCATGAGAAATATGATAGAATAGAAAATTTTCTTTTCGACTGGTCATTTTTAGAAGCTTTACATCCGTATTTCTGATAATAGCGAAAATATATGTCCATCAATGGCTAATGATTCAACACAAGGCCATCAAAAATTGTTTTTAGGATCATAAGATAATGGCTGAAAGGTTAATAAAGGGTAGTTACAAAGGGGATTGTGTAATGATCTATCGAGTCATAGAACAGGTAAGAGAAGTGAGACAGTCCTATTGAAATCAACAATTACGGGGTAAGAAAATAGAGTGAAAAAATATAATGTTGATAGAAAATATGATAAATAAATAAAAATACTTAGGGGTTTTATGATCAAGATAAAATTAGAGATTAGATGTACCTCTTTTGAACCCAGAGATAAATTGCCAAGGCTTCTGCTTTGTTCAAGTGATGAGTGTACACTCTCACAATGTGTGGTTTAATCAACCTTGTAAATGACTTTGAAGGAAGATTCTGTTGGAACAGAGTGACCATAGTTAACCAGATGCACAAGAATCTAGCTGCTAGTCAATGTGCCTTGTCCTTTAGGTAGCTGGGGAGATTAGTGTTTGGAGATGCATTTGAGTAGCAAACGCTTTGTGGGGTGTATGTAAGCAGCTCCACTAAAGCAGGTAAATTGCTAGACACACATGTAGGCGACCAAAAGCCGTAATTTATCCGTCACACTGTCAAATTCCGAATTTGGGCGGAATGGATGGTCTTTCTTAATGCTTTACACAATCGATTCTTGAGTATCTCTGCCATTTTATCTCCTTTAAACCTAATATTCATCAATTTTGTGGAACCATAGAGTTTCATTCTTGGTAACGTTTGGACTTTTCAATGTTCTTTTCAATGAAACTATAAAGATAACCATTGTGGATAAGCACTCTTCGCAGTACTTTCCGCTACTCATTTACTGTAGTGTCTGCGCAAAATCTAATTCGTGTGAAAAGTGAATAAATTGGATTTTTTCTTACCTAGCGGAACAAATCTAGGTTTGTTCCTTGTAAATCGATCTTCTTAGTCAACTCTCTTGTCTTTGTCTCAATGTAACGTCCAGGCTATGGAATTATATATATATATATATATATATATATATATATATATATATATATATATATATTACAAGCGACTGTACTCCTAACAGATAAAATTATTCCTATAAGCAGATAATCCCGTGATGATAGGTAATTTTCGCTCCAAGATTTCTTGTACAAACGTCTTCTCTAGGATGACCTCAAATGATCACCAATAGCTTTGCTATCGCCCTCAGTAACGAGAAATCGTAACCCTAGCTTCTGTAGTGGTAAGACTGGTGGAGTGAGGTTTCAAAATATTCCCCCAAGTGCGGTGAGTTGCACGCAGATTCACTTGCACTAGTCCATGAAGTCTCATAATTTTGGTCTGAGCCGTGTGGGAGGATGTAGACTATCAGACTGGGGTACCCAAGATGAAAGGAATCAGTGTTTGCGGAGTATGGCTGAAAATCGGTCACAATGGCACAAGTGTATTCACTGTTTTATGTCCACTAAAGCTTGAATGTTTACCCTAAGTTCTATCTTCAGGCTGCTTATTCTCCTACACAACTTTGTTTACTTTGAACAACTTAATAAGAAAACGGAGATCATCTGAAACATGTTATGCATTACTTTTACATCACTCTCATTCTATACACTTGTTCTTTGCATGCTACTGTGAAGTGTGACAACTTGAGCCGATGCACTAGTGTGTGAAGCTCTACGTTGATTTTGTCAGTAAGTTAGTCACTTTTTGTTAGCAGCTAATCTGTGTAATTTTATCTTATATTGAAGGTATTGAAATTCGGTTCAATGATAATTGATTCGCTACGTCGCTACACTAAACCAGTTTTTGTCTACCTGCCGCCGAACTCACAACTTCGTGGCGGTGCTTGGGTTGTAGTTGATCCAGCAATTAATCCGGATTTCATGGAAATGTATGCCGACCCAGTATCATCTAGAGCCGGTGTTCTAGAGCCAGAAGGAACCGTTGAAATTAAATTTCGACAGCAAGACCTAATCAATACAATCAACCGACTGGACGATTCATGTAAGATGCTTCTAAAAGAAATCAATAATCTGAATAAACACAGTATGAATTTGTCATCGCTCAATGGCAAGGAAGATGGAGGCAACACAAAATCAATGAATTTGTCTACCGAGGAATGTTGTCTACAACTACGCACTGCATTGGAAGCTAGACAGAAGGAATTATTACCCTTCTATCATCAGGTGAATTGGACAAATTATTTTTTTTATCGAACAGCCCCAATATCTCTGTTAAAGTTTGGCGGTATTTTTTTGGAAAATGTGCATGTGTAACTGTCACACTAGTTTGCATAAAACTGTGACAATGTACACAGCCTATTGCACACTTCGGCTATCTAAATGTTACCTGATATTAGCTAAGTGTTCAGATAATAGGTCTGAAATTCTGGAAATCATTTGAGAATAAGTGTATGTGAGTGAAACCGTCACCAAAAAGGATGGAACGCTGATAACGTCCCAGGACGAGTGGCTAGAACGTCGGACAGAACATTTTGAAGCACAGTTCAACTGGCCTTCAGCATCGTTTCGGTTCCCGAACGTGAAGCCTGCTCGAACCTGAATAGGGCGTAGATGTCGGTCCTTCAACTCTCCTTGAAGTTGAGAGGGCTGTATCGAACCTGAAACTAGGTGAAGCCTCGGAACCTGACAGTTTGCCACTTGAATTTCTCAAGGATAAAGGCATGAAATTGGTGCTTGGAGTGATGAAGGTACTACGTAGTATGTGGAATCAGGGGTAATGCTGTGAGACTGGTATACTTCTCTGATTATCCCGGTCTATAAGAAGGAGAAGAAATCTTTTTGCGATAACCATAGGGTAATTAGTTTGACTAATATGACTAGTGATCTACTACACTTAGCATAAAGAACAAAATCCAGTAAAGTTAGAAACCAATTATGTAAATTTGCATTGAAAGATACTTTTGAACTTATTGACTACATAAATTACATTAATATCAAAGATAAGACAATGTCTTCTTTTGATGTAAACTCTTTATTCACCAACGTACTTTTAACCAAAACTGTTAATTTTTTTGTAATTATATATACCCTTGAGTATTCCTTCATTTCCCATCCCTCCAAAATATTTGAAGGAGGTATTACTACTATGCACCGCCAAGGTTCACTTCACTTTCAAAGGGAAACATTTTCGACAAGTTGGTGGTGTTGCTATGAGTAGTCCTTTAGTACTGTTGTTAGCTGATGCCAACATGTCACAAAGAACTTTTGGCCGAGGATTCAATCAACAAAATCCCTCCGTACAGGAGATACGTTAATGATATCTAAATTAAATGGAGCAAACATTAGAATGCGAAAAGTTTTCTAGATAGATCTTACACCATATAAAACTACATCAGTTTATCGTGTGAAGTAGAAAATAATAGTCAGCTTCCTTTTCTTGACGTGTAATTAACTAGAAGTGAAGGTAGATCGATAAAAGTATCAGTGTATAGAAAACCTACTTGGACCGGACAGTACCTAAACTTTCAAAGTTTCTGCTCAATACAGTACAAACAAGGTTTTCTTGTTCAAAACGATCCAATATATCTGTACAAAAGATACATTGGAAGCAGAAATCAAATTCTTAACAGAGACACTCGTTAAAAACGCAGGTCTTCTCATGTTCATCAATCGGTATAAAAACGTCTCAACAATGCGGACTAATCAGTATTCTGTCATGAAGAAGGTTATTTACACCACGCTGCCGTATAAAGGGGAATCAAACAGCATGGTCTTAAGACGGAGTCTTATTTTAGTTATTAAAATGACATACTTTGTAGCCAAACTCAATACTATAGAGTAAAAAACCTCATCACTACATAAATGACTACGTCTTATCCTGCTGTATGTACCAATTCTCATGTGTGTGCGATGACCCATACATTGGAAGGGTTAATCGAACTATGAAATCGAGGGCGGTGGAGCATATTCGTAAATGGTTAGAAAAACAATTACATTGAAATAATCCGATTAATACGTGAGGAAGATAAACGTCATCTATAGGTAAACACATGGCTGAAACGGGTCAAGGGATTGACCTAAAAACAGCTATCAAGACCATATAATTAGATTCATTGAAACCTTAGTTATGCGAGAGTTCAAACCCCGTCTGTGTATTCAAAAACAGTTTGTCCTTACCTCAAATTTTCCTTGTTAATCTTTATTTCATTTTAATCCTAAGGAAGGTGTGAAAATGCATTATTCCTCATTATTATCCCTATATTTTTCCAAATCTTGCATTATCTTAATTTATTTATCTAATCCCACCCTATTTTCATCCTTCATATAAAATCCCTTGACAAGTAAATGTGTGACGAAATGTATTGCGCGACTACACCACATTTCCGAGATAACCTCCATCTTCATATTACACTATGCAACTAAAAACAAAGGAATTAAGTTTGAGTGACTCATGAATCTTTCAGAATGACCACGTTTCATGATGTACACGACATACTTTTCAAAAAGATTGAATTGAAATACCGAGAGCACGAACAAACCAGATTTCTGTACTTCATTGTGATTTCCTCTGAAAACCTGAGAACTAACTGTTGGCCAACAACATAGACACCGTCAACTAATGTAGAAAATGCAAACAGTGACATCTACTGAGCACAAACTAAAAGGAGGCACTGAAGTTGCTAATGCTAACTCAATATCTTGATTAAACAAATCACTCGAAGGTAGACGGTGACAAAAGGGAAGCATCTGTTGGTGTGATTTCACATTTACTTCAATCGGCTCAAAAAATCTAAGCAAGGAGGCAATAGATACATTTTGAAGAATGATCAGGATCAGTTTATCCCATTTTCATTGATGATGATTCCACGTGGCAGCGGAATGTTTCGGAACTAGATTCCAGTCTGATACAACTCAGTGTGGTTTGACTCTCATCTATAAAAGATGAGCTGAGAAAATATTTTGAACAAGTGAAGTTGTACCTTAATAACTATCGTGATTAGGGAAGTGAAGTTCGTGCTATGTCAATTTATTCACTCTGATGAATTTCGACGCTTAAATTAAAATTGAGGTTAGTTTATCAGATATGTATGCATCTGTGAGTCAACTAATCTGCCTGCTTTATATGTTGGAGTGGTTTCTAACCCGAACCAAGTGTATACCTTGTTTCTTCAATTAGACTATCGAGTATACATGTGTGTGTGGGTTATAATAATCTTGATTAACTTCGGTAATTGTTGAATGTGTCTTACTAATAATTGGTTTGCTTTACGTTTGCGGTGGTAGCAGGACATGAAGCGGAAACCATATGATCGAGCGAAATCTAGGTTAGCCTTTAATTTAATTATTCTCAGTGTATAAGATGAAATGAATCAATGTTAATTTAACTGACCTGCATCTAATTATGTCGTCATATTTTTTCCCCAGGCTGTTCTTCTCCTTACTCTGTCGCTTCATATTGTAATAATTCTGTATCATATTTTTATTCTTGTCGTCATTGTTTGGTGATTGTTTCAAGGTTGCTTGTACATTTGCCGATCTTCACGATACACCGGGTCGTTTATTAGCCCGAAAACTTGTGCATAAGTTGGTCGATTGGTCAAATAGTCGTTGCTTTTTCTATACACGACTTAGACGTCGTTTATTGGAGTTGTCAGCTCTCAGTTTTATCTCTGACATACTTCCGTTTTCTTCGGATCCATGTCCAATTGATGCCGAATATGTTACGTGTGATAAAAATGTTTCTTTTCTACACGTCAGTGCTCAAAAAGATAGAAGTAAGGATATTTTATCGAGAGATGAAGTCGACGTTAAACAATCACCAATTAGTAAGTATGAATTTGTTTCAGTATATGTTTAGCTGTTAGTTCAGCAAAATAGAGTTTTTTTACCACTTACATAATATTGAGTTATATGAACGTATCTGCTTATTCTCGTGTTAAATAACTTGGTAATCTTTTAGCCAGCAGAAATTAGTTTTTGTTGAATGCCTGTTGAAGAAATTATAGAAATGGCAGTGAACTTGTCAGCCTAAAGTGTGTGTATACTGTCTCGGAGCAACACTCATTTCTCTGTAAGAATCAGCACAGGAAAGGGGGCATGAAATATATCACCATGAGCTTCGAAAAACTATTCGACGCGGTCCAGTGATAATGTCGAAGACCGTATCATTGAATGTTTCCAGATCAAAATCACATGTACTATTAGTAGTTAACCTGCTACAAATATACATACTGGACCACCCATTTGGTTATGGGCTGAAGTATATGCAGCAAGATTTAAACGAGAAACCAACTTCTTGGAAGTTCAATATTTCAGCGAATGAAGTACATCTTTCGTAGGCAACCTGTTTCGGTGCTGGATTATGCAGACCAAAGTTGAGTCCAGTCACATCAATGAGTCAGAGTGGACTGAAGCAGTGTTTGTTACTCACTGTATTCTAAGATGGAGGCTGGAGTGCATTATTCGCTGGTCGTACTCTTATTTCGTGGATTGCATTGATTGAATTACGAAGGCCATTCACTTATATGATACTTGTTTATCAAGTTAATAAGAGCAATTTGGACTGCTTTGCTCTAAGTCGTTATCAGCTGGTTGTTTGTTTGTGAAAAAAACTTTCTATATTGATGCTGAAAAGTCAGCTTCACCCATAGGAAAATTTAGAGTGAACAGTGTTCACCTTATTCCATTCTCAGTTTATCATATGGTTTCTCAATTACCCACGCTGTAAATTTCCTCCACCGGGTAAACATCTATGCACTAGTCCGATTTGATGATGTTCAGGTAGAGTAACAATATCTGTACCATTCCTCTTCGTATTTTTTAGTATGCCATATTTGAAACACGTTTAACTGAGATATTCAGGGAAGGTGAAAAGTTTCAAAACTCTTCAAATGTGATGATTGGCAAAGACGTATTCTTCTTTCTGGCTACTTTAGACTATCTCGTTCAATTTCCGAAGTAAATATCCGAAATCACATGGGAAAACTGCACGAGTTAAAATGAATGGGAAAGTTATGAAATTGAGTTTAAGTACTTTAAAACGTCTCTAAGATTCAAGTTTACTGGTCAGTTGATTGAATTCTCACTTTTTTCAATGCACAAGTCGTAGAAAACAGCTTCCATTCTCTCTCTCTTTCTCTACCTCTCTCTGTGTGTCATTTTCTCCTGCTCTTGTGAAAAATGTTTAATTATCATTTGACTATCTAAGATAGCCGTAGTTTGGCAGGCTAGTATTTGTACTGGGTGATGATTGAAAGTGAAACGAAAATCTGTACCGCGGCCGGATTCGAGCCAGCGACCACCGGGTGTTTAAGTTGTTTATTTTATCATTCATTGGATTTACTTTTAGGACTTCTTCGTGTGGAGAGTAATCACCGAATACGTTTCGATTCAGAAAGTCTTACACAAGCTGTTACAATCAATGATTTACCAACTAGTCCCGATGTCAGATTGTCAAATTTAAAGTCATCAATTGGTAAAATGAAGAGGCTGCTGACAATATTGCAAAACAAGTACCTCATTTAGGTATGTGGTTTAGAACTGAAGTATCATTTTTGCATTTTGCATTTGCCTGTTTATTTTTAATAGGTTTATTTGCACACTTTCATTATCCATAATATTATTACGGATTCTTATTGACCTTCCACTGACCGCAGTTGGTTGGTCTCTAATTCTAATAGTCATGCTCGCCCATCTTGATGATCCACTCCTTTTTGAGGTTCTACGTTGGTTTTACCTGTCTGTCTGGTGTTAATCATTGTGCATAGTTATTTTGAGAATGCAATACAAGTTGATATGAATTCAGATGATACGCATTTAGATAAAATAAAAGTCCTTGGTGGGGTTTTCTTAACATTAGGTTTATTGGTTAGAACAATTTGTGAAAATGCTATTCAAGACCTTTTTTGTGTGAAACCTTATCATTTAAAATTGGTATTAGCCAAAAAGAGCAAAGAAGTAATCTCTCTCGAGACTATGACTTAGATAAAAATCGATGAGTATTACAGTTGAACAACTTATGTTATGTGATAACTTCATATACGAGTGTTCCCAGGGGCAAGCAGCTACCCAAAGCGCCTGGAATTACAGCATAAACGTTCAAAGCAATCCACTTCTCAAAGACTGTACGAATGAGCAGCTCAAAACAATACCAGGTGTGGATATAAATGTAATCTATGGGCTATTATAGTGTGAATAACTGTATTCTTTGTGTGCTTAAAGTTACATTTAACCAGGTTTGTTTTACTTCCCCTACTATTTCGTTTTCTTTTCATTTTTAATAGCTGTTAACTATTCTTCTCGTACCAGCCATAAAATGTTACTTTTGAAGAATTGGTTTGTTGAAGCAATGGAAGGAGTAAGTCAATCAGACGTTAATAGCTCTGGAGTAAATGGAAGAACTATACATACAACATCTAAAGATGAAAACGGAGAAGAACAAAACGAAAATTTAACTTCATTATCCCAAAAGAATTCTATGAATCCCTATTGTTTGTGGGAAAATAATGATTTGATTGTTGGCAATTGGTTAGCTAATGAGTTAGATTGTAATGAATTACGCTATTTGGCAAATATCAAGGCTGTGGAAGAATTTTGCTCCCCCGATACACCGACATGCCTTTCATTCATTCCAGTGGAGAATATCTCCCAAGATATCCCCGATATTCGCTTATTCAAACAAAATGTCATACAAGAGAAGATTCAACAACTAAAAAAGGAACATTTGATTGAAAATATTAAACAGTAAGTAGTTTAATTGCATCATATAATCACTGTCCATCACCAGCTGCTAGCAATCTTAGCCCATTTTAATATCACAAATGATGTGTAGGCACTACTGACCAATTCAGTGGAATATTACTGGTTCTAAGTGATGACATTGATGTCATGTAATTGACATCACTTGACTTATTAAAGGTACAGAAACAATTAACAAGGTTATCTACATGTAAGATGACTCAACGCTAATTCTTAAGATATGAAAATTGTATAATTTTGAAAATTTGCATGTGATTTTGGCCTTTTATTATTATTATTATTAGTCCCTTGGGTTCCTAGTGGAACATAGGGCTTCAGTAGCACGTCTCCAGTGACTTCTGTTCTCTGAGATCGTTTGAACCTGGTTCCATGACAGCCCACAAGATCTCATTTCCTCCTCGCACGACCTCCTCCATGTCACCCTTGCCTCGGACGTCCAACTCATCGCTTCCCATGGGGATTCCACTCGAGGGCCTGGCCTGACGCGTGATGTCCCTAGTCGGCCTTCTCAGTGTATGCCCAATCCATCTCCACTTCCTCCTGCATATTTGTTGCGTGATAGGTTCTTAGTTGGTTCGTTCCCAGAGCTCCTTGTTGCTTATTCTTTCTGGCAATCCATCTGATCTTCAGTAGCGAGCGTAAGCAGTTGTTGATGAATGTCTGTAGTTTATTGGAAATGGCTTTCGTAACGCACCAAGTCTCTGAACCATCATATAGAAACACTGACGACGTTGGTGTTCCAAATCCGGATGTTGTTCTACATGCTGAATGCAGAAGATCTCCACACTAGCTTCAGGCTAATGAACGCCTGTCTTGCTTTCCGATCCTGACTTAGAAATCCTCATTTGTTTCTGTGCCGCCTGTAGTTGAAACAGTGCTGCCTAGATAAGTGAAGGAGGTTACTTCCTTTAAGTTTCTCCCGTTGATGGTGACTGGAGTTTGTTGTTGTTGTTGATAGTGGTGGTGCGGTATCTTCATCACCTCTGTCTTCTCTATATTCACTTGAAGTCCCGTCTTCGCTGCCTCTTCTGTCAACTTGTTAGTTTTTGCCTGTAGATCTTCAAGTTTGTGTGACATTAGGCACAAGTCATCACTGGCGAAATCCAAGTCTTCTAGGTTCTTTTCCGCCGTCCAGCATATCCTCCTCTTCTCGCTGCCCACTGTTTGTTGCATGATCCAGTCGACCACAATCAGGAATATCATGGGGGATAGTAGGCAACCTTGTTTCACTCCTGTCTTCACTTCAAAAGCGATTTTGGCCTTTGGTAACTTCTAATCAATCTCAAAGTTTACTCTCATCACTTGAGTTTCACTGTATTTTTCATCAGCTAACCAGTGTAAATCTGTTCTTATCTATATAATTTATGGTGTTTAGCTTTCAATTTAGGGAATAGTTTAGTGTTCACGTTTTTCCTTATAGCTCCTCCTTCTCCCTCGTTGTACAATAACAAAATTGTCTTATGAACATATGCTCTCATTAAGATGACAACTTGGATAGAAAATAGTGTAAGAGAAATAGGTTAGGAGCAAATCATGACTTTGTCAAAAGAAAAAAGAAAGCCTAATTTCATTTCGTGTGTGGGCAAGTGTGTCTTAGACCGCATTGTTTACCATTGTCGGTGATTCGTTGTATCTTTTTCTTGTTCTGTCAAATTCATATTGCCTGGACTGTTGATTGTATATATCTCGTTGTTGTGTCTAATTACTTGGAACCTCTGCCTCAAAGCACTATCAACGTGAATGATTTACTTTTGTTTAGCAATGGGAATGCAAAATGCGTGTCTTATCTTATTTAGAACTCATCAGTTGACTGAACACACATCCCGGTGTGTGATTGTTTCCCCCGATAATCGAAGCCAATACCTCTCACTTCAAATGCTAATGTTGAAGTATTTATACATAAGATGATATACTATATGAATCTGTTTGAGAATTTTACCGTTAATTACTGGCTGCTGGGTTCAAACCTAGTTCCATCTACATTAAGACAATCAACTAAAGCATAGATTAATTATAGTAGAGAGGTTTTGTGAAATTTTAAACAGGTTTTTACATATTATAAACATCTAGGCCATAGTTTTTATGAATGTCGTTCTTATATAATTGATATTTTGTATAATGGTAAATAAAGAGCGAAGATAAATTGTTACGCAAAGTGGTAAATTGTTGACTGTAATTAGAGACAGTAGGGGGAGAACAAGATGGCTAAAACTGTATTACTAATAACAATAATGATAACAATAATAGAGCCATTAAAATACTAGTTATATTCAGTTGTGGAATGAATGAAATGTAGGGTCTTGTAATAAATAAGCTATACAGATGGTCAAGGCAAAGAAAGAGGCTGTACTAATTTCTTCTGAACACATAGACTTGGCTTGTTTAGGTGAATTCCTATGGCTTCTGCTCTATGTAAAAGACGAACTCGTAGAGCATGGGTGAGGTTGGAAGGAATGTGATAAATAACTTTAAGGGATTATGAATGTTAACTCGGTGGCCACTGTGAAATCAGATGCGAGAGTATTGAGCTTCGTATCGATCTGGTTTACCCCTTACTTAGCCATGAAGGATAATGCCCTTCGATTCGACGACGGACTTTACGTAACAATTCATTTTCACTCTTTAGTTACCATTATACAAAATATCAATTATGTAACAACCTGTTTAAAATTTCACAAAATCTTTCTGCTATAATTAATCTATGCTTTAGTTAATTGTCTTAATTACCTGATTAGTTATCACCTTCTTGATACTTTGAGATTGATTACCTTTCATTAAACAATTCTCATCACTAGATTGGTACATAATTTTACGTTTTGAAAATGCTATATATTAGTGTAGAGCCATTGATGAGGAACTAATTGAAAAGAAATACTTCTCCACATTGTTTGTTTTACCACATGTAACTATTCACATTCGTAAAAGAAAATTAATGTTTCATGAAAAAGGTTTGGGCAGAATTCAGTTTTTTTAACAACTAACCTTGACTTGAACCAACGGTGTTTGTCCTCACTCACTGATGTAAGTTCAGTTTGATTATGAATCAAGAGATTGGAAAAAAGAACTGTGTAATATTCAAAATAGCAATGAAAAGAAGATTTATCCAAACCTAAGCAATATTCAGTTACTAAGTTACGTGATGGAATATGACTAAAGGAATTGATGAGTGTTATGCGGAATCGGAAATTTAAGAATAGGAAAATATAATGTATGTGTGAGAGAGAAGACGTAATATGCTACTTAATAAGTGAAATAAAATGCTTTGAAGGCATAATTTTCTTATCGATCATGTCCATTGCAATATAAGTGACTGGAGAAACGTTCTTGTAAATACCAGAGTGTAGGTTTCAGAATATGAATTTGATTTTTATGATTTTGACAGTTTGAAGACATTTCAGATGTACACCTGTGATGATGTTTGTATGAACTCTATAGGTGACACTTCAGTTATTTTCTTCATTTACTGGGTGGTCAGGATGGATCAAATGTTCTAAGGTAGAGTTGCGAGGCACTCTCCTTTCTCCTTTGTGAAATCATATTTTCCACTGTGTTATTTTAATGTGCAAATAATGATATTCAGTGTATAATTTTAGCATTGTGTTTATAATTATATAATGTTGTTTTGTCTAAATGTTTAGGTGCCTTATCAATAGTAGTTCACAGCTTTCGCCAAGTGAATTGTCGACATTATTTAAAACTGCTTTAACTCTATCCGAGCGTAGTCATTTAGCCAGTCTCCTGTTATCTGAACCAAATGAAATGAACACAAACGGTCAAGATATGGTGACGGAAGACGATTTTTTCGCTTCTCTCAAGTAAATTACACTAAGCGAAAGCAAAAGAGTTGACAATAATGATGATAATGGTGCTAATGAATGATTGTCTAGTACATAAAACTAATATAACCCGAAGCGCTTTCATAATTTAAACTGGTTCTCCCACTCATTCAAATGGTTCGTTCATTCTTACTTTTCTATCTTACTGTTAGAAAAAAGATGAACACGTTATCCTACATACATCATTTGTACATCAGTTGGACTGATGACAGTAATTTGTTTCCCATTTTGTTGTGCCTCTGTGAGTTTTGTGTTCTCTTTGTATCCTTCATTGTTTAATCATCTACATCTCCCCTTCCTTTTGAACTACTTTATTTCTTTTTCTACTTGGTTTCTTGCGAATTTTCCCCTGTATAAGGTGAATTTTATCACTTTCAATGAACAAGTGAATGCGAAGATGTTGACCAAAAAGTACTATCAATCTGCTTTTGTGTAGTGTTTTTTTTATTGATTTGACAGAGGGTAAAATATAGTTTATTTTTCTTGTCACATCAGCAATACCGCTTCTTCTTCTTCTTTCGCTTCTGCACGCAAACACCTTCGTGGCAATTTATTTGAATACCGTGTTTGATGATGTTTTCTCAAAGGCCTTCGTTCTACGTCCATATTAATTTTTCTTCACTGACTCCTTAACACAATGCTTAGAAATACATGCTATTCGTTATATTCCCAGTCAACAGTGTCTGTATTTCTTTGTTCAAACTGATTCGTTGCATATTCAATAAGAGGAAATAACTATTTTTAAATACATGTATGATGTTTGGAAACATAGCCCACCTGTTTGAAATCGTCTACCGTTATATATCTTTGTACTGTTTGTTTGCCTGTCTCCGTCTTGGATCGAAATGTTTTATATACTGTAATATAAATAATGTGTACTTACTGTGTTTTTTTTTCTACTGTAAACATTAAACGCTAATAGACTGTGATGTTTACAAATATGTTTCCTCTGTCTCTCTCTCTATCACTCCCGCATACATCTCTCTTCCGAGCATTCACTGTAAAAAATAATTTCCAAATGAATAAACAAAGCATTAAAATGAAGTTGATTACTCCTCTTTTATGTATATACAGTGATTACTCCATATTTTATTCTTATTCTTATTACTATGATTGTGAATCTATTTTTCAACTAATTGATGAGTCGATCAATCATTTCAGAGACAGTTTTGCCTTCTATGAGCGCTTTATCCTGTAGTGATGCGAACCTTTTGGTACTGTATTTAACAGTATCATCGTCATTAGAATGACTTATTAGATTTTCCTTACGATTATTAGTGTGCTATTATATGAAGTTAAACTTGAAGATGATTAGTTTCGTTGAGTAGTTTGAAAATAGTTGATGGTTACATATAAAAATATGCATGCTCTAGTGAAAGTTATCTTTACTCAGTCTTAAGCAGTAAAGATACTTGAACACGTGGTGATAATGTTTATTACTGTGGCTAGAAATATTTATTTGATGTATTGATAACGTATACTTCGGTAGATTATCCTATTGGTTCACAGTTCGACGAGGAACAGTCGTCTCCCTAATGTTGGCAATTTTATTGTGGATGATAAGCTTTCTGAGTATACATTATGAAGCGATGAGTTTCAAAAGGGAACAGATTAAGTCGTTCGTCATTTACAAAATCATACTGCCTTTTGGCCATTTCAGTTCTTAACTTCTCCATCTCTGGGGATGGCTTTATGACAAAACCTAAAATCTTGAGTGCTCCTATTCTATGACTGTATGTTCAGGATTTATTGTACTTGTGATGATTATACCTTAACATTATGGAATGTAAGCACGATTCATAGCAGATTTGAACTTGTACCCACAGGTTCATACAAAGGCAAAAAGGATCTGACGAGGAGTTTCGATATTTATAGACGATCCTTAAGTTATGCAGGACCACGTAATTCCATAACTAATAAATAAATAAAAACCACACATATTCTCATAAATACAATAAATCTATAAGGTGGGTAGGTTCTCTAGTTAATATAAGAACACGGACTATAAAGCAGTTAAACATCCAACTATTCTTAGTCTGAGCTTGTAAATGAAGCAAGCAATAGATTGAACACTTTGTTATCTCAATCGAAGTAGTTCAAATCGTGTCGAGAGTGCTTCAAATCTATAGGAAGTGAGCAAGTGTTCTACAAGTGTTTAATCACTACAACATTTTGCTTCTTACACTATGATTTGTAATTAATAATCATTCATGCAACTTCCATCCCATTTGCGATGTACTAGCTTACGGTTCCTCTGCAATAGGAATTTTTGTCTAAAATCATATGCTTCGATGTTAAGTTTCACCTAGAAGACTGTTTATTTGTGTTGACGTCTTCTCATACTTCTTGGGTTACTCTTTTATCTTTCATGAGGTTATCACTGATCGGAAATATGTTGTATGTATGTGTCTAGTATACTAGAGAGATTTAAAGGAATAAAAAAGATCGTAGTTTTAATGTTATGTATCAGATATAATTGAGTAGGAATTTTTAAGTGTGATGAATTAACTGTGTTTATAGGAGCATCAGTCTCCTACCCTTGGGTTACAGATACTCTGTACTGACGAGTACCAGCAAGTGAGAAGTCTACCGATTGTCTTCAGCCAACTGATATCAACGTGCACTCATCGAAAAGTCTTTGAGCTCTGGGGTGACATCACACACTTGATGGATAGTAATCGTTTAGGACTTGGAACCGTGCTACATGGCATTGTATGCTCTTCACTCATTAATCTAAGTAAGCCACTTGCGTGCTTTTTTGCTGACAAAGTATAGCAACCCTCGCGTATCCAGTTTTCACTGCATTAAAATTCAGATGAGTTTTTGGACGAAAATAAGTCATCTGTACAGGTCAGTTAGAATTTTACCACTTATAGAACTTACTGGTAACTATGATAGTATCGGATACTTTTCTTCAAAGTTGAAATACGTATGAATCTGGAATTCTAGAAGTTTTAGTATCACTACTTCAGAACTTGTTCGACAAAGGTAATGACGAAATGTAGAAATAGTATATATATCAAATAAAATTCAATCTTACAAATAATGTATCTTATCTAGCCGATAGAGTTGTACGTAGTAGGTTATGTATCGTACCTCATGTATGGAAGCTTATAATATCATTCGATTGACCAGGCAGGAATTGATCTTAACAGCCACTGCTGGAAGAATGTCATGCAACTAGGACCACGAACTACAGCCTCACAAAAAGAGAACTATACAAAGTCTTTAGGTAGTAAAACGGTGGTGCAGACCAACATGAAGTTGATTTAAGAGGTCTCATATCAACATATTTTTTTTCAAGCCGTATATTCGTGTATGCTGTTATAATTTGAGGGACTAACGTCTATGATAGGAAAAACATTACCACTTTAGCTTATTTTTACTATAATTATCATCCGCTGTTCATGGGACCTAACATAACATACTCCTGCAACTATTATATTTACGTACAAATGTACATAATCAAAGCTTTGCTTTTTCTTTATCAAACAAAAACAGCGATGAAATACAAACCTTACGCTAATCTAGTCCACATGAGGTCAGTAGACACAACAATAGCCGAATAACTTGGCGTCGATTAACAATGACATGACCAAAATAGATAAGAGAAAATTAAGTAAAGTTCCTAGAAAAATTATTCCAATTGAATCCGGTAATCTGGAGAATGTAAGTCATCGGGGACAGCCATGTTCTTAGGAACAATTCTAAACATGTGTTGTGACACAAGCAATCAGTTTTACTGAATGATCATTCAAAATATAGGATAGAACTGATTCTGACTGAAATTTTTATGCATTAAAAACTGCCACTTTGTTACTTAAGAATAAAACTGATTAGGCGAAGAAATATATTCCCTTTCTATTAGGTCCTCGTCTCTGGTTCTATCCTAACACATAAGTTTACAATCCAATGGAAATACCAATTAAGTGTTGGAGCACTGATAAACCCTTTTCGGAGATTTTAAGTAAGTCATGAACATGGCAAGTTCAAGGAATCAAGATGCAAATAATCAACAGAGTAATTGTACGAGGGATTTTTGTTTCACTGGATACCTTTCAACGGAAATCTAGTATAGGACTGGTCCGAGGAAATGCACTACATGAAATAATTTGACAGTTTTATAATGACTATATGTGAAGGCCATAGTAATCGAAGAGCGAGAGAAGCATTCACGCAAATATTTGTTACTATTGGAAATAAATGAGACAAGAAAGCTGCAGCATTATCGCCATTGCCTTCAGTCCTGAAGTGCTTATCAAATGACGTCTCGAATCATTATTTCACATTATCATTCAAAGAGTCTTACTTAATGCATCAAGAGATGCTATTCAAATGCAACCACTTTTCATCCGACGGTATCACCTTGCACTTGCACCACTTCTCTAATCCTGGCATTCAATTTCAATCGAAGCCGGTGGAATTGTATTCATTACACATGTTCCAGTCACTGAAAACTTTCATTCCGTCTCTCTGTTCTTCCAATGTACTTGCATCCACATGGACACGTGAATCGGTAGGTGTGGTTGTTGATAATGAGATTCAGAAAACTGTCCAGTGTGTCCCGTCTAACACAGTACATATTCCGAAATAGTGATACATATGTAACGGTTATATATTTTGGAGCCACTAATCTGAGGAAATCGGTAAACACATGTCTAAAGTATTTATCGAGGAGATCGAATTGATGACGATTTTTGGTTGTGTTTGGCACACTCTAGATCATTAGTAGTGGGAAGGAATAGTCAATGACTTATTCTCATCAACTGTCATAGTACACTGGGAAGCACACAAGTCGTTGGTTAGTCAGTTTAGCAGTGTCTCAAATACCTGATTGAAACTGGTAGTGAATGACGAAGAGTAACCTAAGAGAATTCATTTCAATACTGCTGCAGTGTTTCAAACAACACCTTAGTGTATACATATTTCTTTTAAGCTAAATTACACATAGATTATCATACACTTGACCTTCTCCTTAAGACA